AAAATAGGGGGTTCCACTTGCAATTAGGTTTCCATTTGCTTTCATATTGGAGCTATACAAGCCGGCCGGGTGGTCTGAGACACCCTGTATACCCATCTTGCCAATGCCACGAGCACCACGGGCGGTAACCACAATGCCAAGGCTTGTACGTACATTGTACACGGACAATAGACTGGCGCTGTACAGTGTACACGAGTACACACCAACATCAGGGCAAGTGGGTAATACATCTATATACTCATCTTGCCAATGCCACGAGCACCACGGGCGGTAACCACAATGCCAAGGCTTGTACGTACATTGTACACGGACAATAGATTAGCGCTGTACAGTGTACACGAGTACATACCAACATCAGGGCAAGTGGGTAATACATCTATATACTCATCTTGCCAATGCCACGAGCACCACGGGCGGTAACCACAATGCCAAGGCTTGTACGTACATTGTACACGGACAATAGACTGGCGCTGTACAGTGTACATGAGTACATACCAACATCAGGGTAAGTGGATAATACAACTATATACTCATCTTGCCAATGCCACGAGCACCACGGGCGGTCACCACAATGCCAAGGCTTGTACGTACATTGTACACGGACAATAGATTAGCGCTGTACAGTGTACACGAGTACATACCAACATCAGGGCAAGTGGGTAATACATCTATATACTCATCTTGCCAATGCCACGAGCACCACAGGCGGTCACCACAATGCCAAGGCTTGTACGTACATTGTACACAGACAATAGACTGGCGCTGTACAGTGTACATGAGTACATACCAACATCAGGGTAAGTGGATAATACAACTATATACTCATCTTGCCAATGCCACGAGCACCACGGGCGGTCACCACAATGCCAAGGCTTGTACGTACATTGTACACAGACAATAGACTGGCGCTGTACAGTGTACATGAGTACATACCAACATCAGGGTAAGTGGATAATACAACTATATACTCATCTTGCCAATGCCACGAGCACCACGGGCGGTCACCACAATGCCAAGGCTTGTACGTACATTGTACACGGACAATAGACTGGCGCTGTACAGTGTACACGAGTACACACCAACATCAGGTCAAGTGGATAATAAAACTATATACTCATCTTGCCAATGCCACGAGCACCACGGGCGGTCACCACAATGCCAAGGCTTGTACGTACATTGTACACGGACAATAGACTGGCGCTGTACAGTGTACATGAGTACATACCAACATCAGGTCAAGTGGATAATAAAACTATATACTCATCTTGCCAATGCCACGAGCACCACGGGCGGTCACCACAATGCCAAGGCTTGTACGTACATTGTACACGGACAATAGACTGGCGCTGTACAGTGTACACGAGTACACACCAACATCAGGTCAAGTGGATAATACAACTATATACTCATCTTGCCAATGCCACGAGCACCACGGGCGGTCACCACAATGCCAAGGCTTGTACGTACATTGTACACGGACAATAGACTGGCGCTGTACAGTGTACATGAGTACATACCAACATCAGGTCAAGTGGATAATAAAACTATATACTCATCTTGCCAATGCCACGAGCACCACGGGCGGTCACCACAATGCCAAGGCTTGTACGTACATTGTACACGGACAATAGACTGGCGCTGTACAGTGTACACGAGTACACACCAACATCAGGTCAAGTGGATAATAAAACTATATACTCATCTTGCCAATGCCACGAGCACCACGGGCGGTCACCACAATGCCAAGGCTTGTACGTACATTGTACACGGACAATAGACTGGCGCTGTACAGTGTACACGAGTACACACCAACATCAGGTCAAGTGGATAATACATCTATATACTCATCTTGCCAATGCCACGAGCACCACGGGCGGTCACCACAATGCCAAGGCTTGTACGTACATTGTACACGGACAATAGACTGGCGCTGTACATCGTACATGAGTACATACCAACATCAGGGCAAGTGGATAATACATCTATATACTCATCTTGCCAATGCCACGAGCACCACGGGCGGTCACCACAATGCCAAGGCTTGTACGTACATTGTACACGGACAATAGATTAGCGCTGTACAGTGTACACGAGTACATACCAACATCAGGGCAAGTGGATAATACATCTATATACTCATCTTGCCAATGCCACGAGCACCACGGGCGGTCACCACAATGCCAAGGCTTGTACGTACATTGTACACGGACAATAGACTGGCGCTGTACAGTGTACACGAGTACACACCAACATCAGGTCAAGTGGATAATACATCTATATACTCATCTTGCCAATGCCACGAGCGCCACGGGCGGTCACCACAATGCCAAGGCTTGTACGTACATTGTACACGGACAATAGACTGGCGCTGTACAGTGTACATGAGTACATACCAACATCAGGGCAAGTGGATAATACATCTATATACTCATCTTGCCAATGCCACGAGCGCCACGGGCGGTCACCACAATGCCAAGGCTTGTACGTACATTGTACACGGACAATAGATTAGCGCTGTACAGTGTACACGAGTACATACCAACATCAGGTCAAGTGGATAATACATCTATATACTCATCTTGCCAATGCCACGAGCGCCACGGGCGGTCACCACAATGCCAAGGCTTGTACGTACATTGTACACGGACAATAGATTAGCGCTGTACAGTGTACATGAGTACATACCAACATCAGGTCATGTGGATAATACATCTATATACTCATCTTGCCAATGCCACGAGCGCCACGGGCGGTCACCACAATGCCAAGGCTTGTACGTACATTGTACACGGACAATAGACTGGCGCTGTACAGTGTACATGAGTACATACCAACATCAGGTCAAGTGGATAATACATCTATATACTCATCTTGCGCACGCATACAATGTAAACTAGAGTTCCATGAAACGATTGCGAGTGTGTGGTTAAAGTAATAGGTAACATCTTTCAAGTATGTTAAAATAATAAATTCTCATAGATTGTTCGAATGACATAGTTTCTTCCTGTAAATTTCCCCCAGTGCTTTCCAGTTAGTTTTATGAGTGGTTTTATTTGCGACTTTTTTGCTTTGGTTTGTGTACAAATCTTGTTGTGTTTTAGGTACTCTCTCGTCTGAGGACAGAATCAAATTCCGGATTCCGAAACGTCATGAAAACATTGTTCCTTGTGCATATCGTGATGGAACATCTGCGCAATAGTTTCATAAATAAGATATATCCCTAAACACCTAAAGTCAGCTTCAAACAAAAAATTAAAATATTTACCACCTCAAAACAATTAATGAAAATTGATTGTTATCCAAAAGGAGTTCGAAGAAAAACTATAATTGACAAAAATCCAGGATTCCTTTTTTCATGAAATGGTTTTAATAAATATGTTGAGTAATCCTTTGTTGCTGTTGTAACGATTCCTATTGGTTCTTAACATATAGCACCATCATAGGCATACAAGGAGTCAACTCAATCGCTTCATTTTAAGGTCAGCAGGTTAAGCCAAAGTAGACCCAAGAAAATCTCTATCAGATAAAACTTTCAATCATGATTCTAAATCAAAACATATAAACTTACTATAACAAGTAGACAACAAGTCACATCGTATTCGTTGAAGTGACAAATATCTAAGAATAGCATACAATAAAAAGACGATAAATTACAAGAAAACCCTAAACAAACATAAGAGAGGAAACATTAATTACGTCAAAACGAGGAGTGGCTGAATTATGAGAAGGAATCAGCGAGATCAAAATATACAACTTGGCGAAAGTTGGCGAATGGCGTCGTCAAATCAGAAATAACTCTCCTTGAGCAAAAATCAGAATGATGACATATGGTTATACAGTGAGTGTGAGGAGCTTCAGTTGATTTTCGCGACGGTTTGCAGAATGCATTTTTGTAGCAGAATACTTACTAATAACGATACACCCGAATTTATGAGTTAAAAATTACTTTGTTACTCATATACAAGTTAGTGGATGAAAATAAATAAATAATCTTTGATTGTCAAAGGCTGAAATTCTCACAAGACCGGATCTGCGCCACAGTTCAAAAACACAACAAGCGACTGTCCAGTTGAAAATAGTCTTGTCAAGCCGAAGGTCTCATCCGCCACATCCGGGTGATCAGTATGGACCACGGACCTCCAGGTTGGCGATCGTCCATGATCCCAGGGTCCGAGACTCGGCGATCATGGAGGATACGAGCTGGTCTAGTGGTAAAGCGCGGGACTTCCATCATCAGGTTCCGGGTTTAAGCCCGCCAATCACCAATTACTACGTGATAATTCGGCAACCTTCTAGGTCTAGCCTGCTGTAATTGATGGTTGATTTTAGATACGATGTGTGACTACAGAAGAGAGCGCTTCCGATGATACGTTGAATGTTTGGTATCTAGAGAGGTGACTACATCATGACGTATAGTGTATGCTTATATCGATATTTGTTTAGCCTAGCTGATTCGAAAAAAACTACAGTACAAAGAATTACAGACCTCAACAAAAAAAGTTGGCAACATTTGGTTTGCCGTGTGGCTAAAGCGCTCCCCTCCGAATCTGAAGGTTGCAGGTTCGGTTTCGAGCCATTTGTCGTTAAGATATTAATTAGTGCTATCCAACTAACAAACAGTCGACGATGGGTGGTACAGGTCGGTTTGAAATGTTGTTTACAATATTTGTGTGAATTGCTAAACAAAATCGTACGATTATTAAGCAAATTGTAATATTGCAAACCTTCCATGATGGTAAAAATTTACGACTTTGCTCCATAATAGTAAAGTATTTATTATATAAGTTGAGGCATTTCACATAAAGTCGAGGTCAACGAGAGCAATTAATTGATGGTCAATTATATTCTTTCTTTAATTCAATTAACGATTATGCTTATTTATTAAGAATAATAAATGTATTAGTATTGGTATGGACCAACTAAGAATTTTGAAAGCAAAATCTACTATCTGTGATCAATTAAAACTAATAAAACAAAAACTTGGAAATAGTATTTCTTACCTTTGCAGGAATGGCGTTGACGCGTTGTGGTCACACGACTAGTCCGATCTGAAAAAATAAACAACATTAGTAAATGACATATAAACGTAAATTATGTAAGACTCATACACATAATGCATTAAAACTATTAGCTTCTTGACTAACAGATTTTTACTAGTGTAAAAACAAAGACTAAATTTCCCAGTAATTATTGTAGGTAAGAGATTAAATTGTAATACGTAAACTCGGTTCCTTCAATTAGTGCATTTCTTGGCTGCAGCTCTCTGTTATTGTTTCAAGTTACTTCGCTAAGCGGATTGCTAACTTCTTAGACGCGACGTGACTTCTTTCATTAAGTCGTAATCCAATTTTGCTTGGTCAGTATGTGTACGTAATGTAAAAGAGCTATTAAGTTTTAAGCAGAGGTTTTAGATGCAGTAATAAAATAAATATCTCCCACAATTATTTTTAAATAGGCTTCACAATGAAATAGACTGTTATAGATTTTATTAAGTCTACCTAAACAAAAGAACGAACTCTGAGTACCACTACGTACAATATAATATATTTGCGTGCATTATTATTTAGTATGTAGTTTGCTGCATTTCAACTTGTGTGCGAGATCTTTTGACTCTAGGTTACCGCAAAGTGTACATTTCATTTCCCATGCTCTAGCGGATGAATGACCTGAATGATTCAATCAGGTAAAACATAAAATTATTTACACCGAATGAAAAATACTTGTGATCAGCTAGATGCAATATGCTAGGAACTACTCAATAACATACACCAAATAATTACTATTCCAAATATTTGTTCTAAATAGCTGTCTCTGGCAAAAAAGTGTCACCACACTAACATAATGTTCAGTTTCAAAATAAGAAGAACTTAAAGCCATCACCAGAGGTTTCTGCGGTAAAATACAATTCCATCCCTCTGTACAGAAAGTAGCTATTTTCGATGATAGCTGATGTAAAATAAAATCAAAGTTCCCAAGTTCTAATTCTGAGCAACAATTTTCATTTCATTTCATATATTACGTAGAATAAACATTTGAAAAACAACATGTTTTCTAATCATTGTAAAATGTAAAAATAACCCAAGTTCGATTAAAAGAACCAATAAAAGCTTTAATTTGAAATCAAGTTTCAAATTAACTTGATATGTATTGGTAGTAGGTAGACGTATAATTAATTTAACAATATGATACCCTACGGCACCGCGCGACTACTCTTCGCCAATGTAATAACTTGATTTTATTTCTATGTAAGTTGTGTTTAATGGTATGTATTTTAATTATTTTAAAGAAAAGTGTTTGAATGTTTAAATCAAGAAATATGTAAAATTATTTAAATCAATTTTACTTGAACTAAAGTTGAGAAGGTTATGCTCATACAAATACAATGCGTTGATAATAATTTCTAAATATATTTAGAACTAAGACAATTAGTTAGTTGTACGCTGGTATAATGTTAAAAGAGGTCCAAGTTGTATAGCTATATAAACGGGATATTTTACAATTAATTGGAAACCAATAATCATCAAAGTTGTCAATGCTCTCCATATTTGGGCAGAACGTGAAAAGCTGCACAAACAAAAAGATCGTTCGCACAACGACACAATGAGAAATTAAACAGGTATAACGAGTTGGTTTCGTCACAAACACAAGGAAATTAAATTACAGTTTAAAAAAGGTTTCTAGAAATTTTAATTAAAATGTTTTAGGCATATTCTTACCAATACTATACCGTATACTATACGTACCAATATGCACTTACATATTTGTTAGTGCATAGATCAAAACTGTAGTTCTAACAAGCATCATCATATGACACCCATTTATTGTTCAAACTAACTTATTTATTTTGGTAGACTAGTAAATTTATTTATTAGAGATCTAACAAGCATCATCATATGACACCCATTTATTGTTCAAACTAACTTATTTATTTTGGTAGACTAGTAAATTTATTTACCCCATCTACAATTTTATTAAATCTATTTCGAAACAGTGCCTTAGATAACCAATCTTTTCGGAATAGTGTTTTTCGGAGTTATGCCTTATGAAGAAATACTGCACACCGGTTAATACTAATTTACCATCACACACTGGTGTCTGCCAATACATGGTACTGTTTTTCGCTATGTATATCCCCCCACAAATTACCCACATTTCCCTACATTCCCACCGCATTACCCGGCACTGTTTCCCGCAAAATTACCAACTTTTCCCACTATTCCCACCGTATTAGCCGGGGCTGTTGCATACACTTTCAACACCAGACGCCGGATATGCGGGAGCCTACTGAATCAATAAACGCGTAGGTTCAAGGCTGCGTTGATACATGCGTGCTGTACTGTGCACTCCAACGATGCATTAATGCAACAATGGCTGCACGATTGCACCAGCTAGCCGTGTGTTTAGTGTATGATATAATGAGTCTTTGGCTTTAGATACTTTTTTATGCACTATGGCGCAGGCTCTTGATCATAACTGTTGTACACATTACTTACGGCTAGGCACAGAGGGTTGACACTTAGATAAATCACCAAGATCACTTAGATGAAATCCATTTGTGATTGGAAGGGTTTGCACCCGTGATCTCGAGGATTAAGTTCCGAGAGCTAGAACAACAAGACCAAAAATTCAGTTTACCAGACTGAAAATTTTCAATCTGTCTAAGACGAAATCATCTCTAGATAAAATATATGTATACTAATAAGTTACTAATCAAATTTAACTAAACTTTATTATTTTTATTTGTATTACTTTAACAGAACCAAAATCAAAATCAAAATTTTATTGGGCCAATTAACATTTAAGTAATAGGGTAGGTCATAATTTAACAAATAGCGATCCCCTTTGGTCCAGTCAGTCCAAGTTAATAAAAAAGGGAAAACAAGCACAAACAACATCATGCAGAAAACACTAATATATACATAAAAATATATAATACCCCCGCCGTAGCAAACCTGCAGACTAAGCGAATTTCCATTTGACTGATTGGATTTACACTGAAATGTCTACTTAAAAATAAAAAAGAAGCTATTACACTTTTTTAATTAATTGACTTAAACCTTTGACTATTAACACTACTAAAAGACCTTAATGATGCTTTGGTTTACTATTTTCCCGATTGCTCAGTTGAAACATCTGAAGACGAGATCCACAAGTATCGATGGTTTGTAAAAAAATTATAGTTAGTATTCTAGAACTTCAAAGCGAGTCCCTTAAAAACTGGTATAAATGAGCACAAAACATGCTAGGCACTTTTGTAACAAATTTTAACTATATGCATTTAGAGTGGTAGCAATGATAAAAATAAAGAGTAACAAGTAATTTTCCACAACATTACGTAATGAGCCAATGTTGTGATTTCATTTAAATTTATCGTCTCGGTTTCAGCTTTACTCAAATCCCTACCATCCGTATACTGTTTGCCTTAGTAAATATGTTACTAAATAAAAAATCAAGACTCACATAAAAAATAAATCGGTTAAATAATCAAAGTAAATCTACGGCGTATCATTAAAGAGAGCATTGAACGAGCACATTGAACAGTCTGATGAAATCAATAGTTTTTAAATAAAGAAAATGCTATTTTTGATTATGAAAGAGTTACGTACTAGTATAACTATCATAAAATACAAATACTTAAAACTCCAGTCTTAGGTGCCTAAATTTTTCAGTCTTCTGCAAACTTAACTAAACCTCAAGCCAATGAAGAAAGCCAATTAATTTTACAGCAATACACATTCAAGAAAGTTGAGTAGAGATTTTAAATATTTTCAAGATCAATTAAACTTGCTTTTACCCGAGGCGTCTTCTAAGTTGAATCCCTAAGTATTCAAGAATCACGAGAACAAGCAACAATACCCAAGCTCGGATGGTTACCAATTTGTTTAATACAATTAGACCCATCAACGGGGTAAGCAAGGGCTCATTTGATTAATCCATCTAAGCAATTTACAATCGATAAAGCAATGAAAAGCTTATTTTCTAGATGCAGATATAAAAACAACTCGTTACCGTCATTTTTTAAGTTATGAGAAAAAGTACTGGAAGTTTAACAAGAACCCTCGATAAGACTATCGTAAAGCAAATTCCTGATTCTCATGAATGTGAGTTCCTTATCAAGTTTTGTGCTATCAAATTGTGAATAGAAATATTAAGGTTAGTTCAATAGATTGTTCTTAATTTTCAGGATACGTGTCAAGGTCTGCGTTCTTAAGATGACATAAAACTAAGATTTGAAATCCTTACTACGTTGTACCATTAAATAGTCAAAGGTTGTACTTCTAACGCCTTTCTTTTGCCCGATATGAAAGCAAAAGACTGTAGGCCATATGTGACTGGCTCATAATAATAAACGAAACATCACATGAAATATTTAACATAACATTAACACTGATAAATATAATTAAAAGTATATCTGCTTTAAAATATTCAAATGCCGTGTCTCTATATTATTTTTTATATAAATATGATTACAAGTTTGCAAACAATGATATATTTCATGGAACCGATGTGGAAAAATAAACGAGGTTTGGACTTAAAGTTTGCAAAAACTTTGATTCAATAACTCAAAGTGTAATTGATATATGGAGCATTATGGTCTAATATCGACAGTTATAAGGAAACTTTGTAGAATTAGGCTGGTTGTGTTCTGCGATATTTTAAAACTATTGTAGGCCTATAACTTTACTCTTTGAACGATGATATTGTATTCATCATAGGCTACTCGATTGCAACAATTACTACAATCAAAACCACGTCATGGCAACAATGAGTCACAATTGACACAATCTCTTGCTCTATCGATTGGTTTAAATAGTCATAAACAACAATGTCGCATCTGTAGTAAAAAAATGACACAGCTGATCCACTCAACATCAGCTGATTCTTTACGTCATGTAACCAAAATTGTTACTGCAATGCAATAAAAAAAACAACAGTTTTCGCAGCAGCATGATGAAAAATATACGTATCAGCCATGAATATTTACCATCATCAATTAATTGAACCGCGGTGACACAGGCAAACTGTTACTAATTCTCCAATTAATGAA